TTCCTTCCTTTCCTATCTTGAGAAATGATTCAAACAATTAAGTGACTTGTTTTATTTCACAGTACTTGTTCAAGGAACAGAGATAGATCAATACGGTTCGAGCCATTACCGCAACAATCTCTCAGATCTAATAGGCGTTCAAAGAGAACTTTGTCATCTCCGTTACTCATCACCTTTCAATGGCCACTAAAGAAGACATTGAGAACATCAACAAATCCATTGAGGCACTGTCTTCCATGATGAAAACCCTTACCACTAGGGTCACTACCATGGAACAAAACAAGGTCACTGTTACCACCTTTGACAAACTGAAGGAACAAATGAGTAAGATTTCTGAGGATTTCACTTATGTGGAACGGCCTCCCACTCCTTTGGATGTGAAGGATAGACTCCCTGAAAAGTTCTCCACTGCTGATATTCCAAAGTTCAAGCCTACTGACAATCCAATATTCCATTTGAAGGCGTTCTCTGCAACCATGGCTCTTAAGGGATTGGACGTAACACTCTTCCCTACGGTGTTCCCTCTCTCCTTAGAACATGCTTGCCAACAATGGTTCTATTCCCTAGATGCCAAGCGTACTGCGACTTGGCAAGATGTCACCGACAGTTTCATGAATCGTTACAAGTGTAACATTCAAACTAAAACTTCTGAACGTGAACTCTCCATTCTCAAACAGAAAGAGAATGAAGGCTTCACCGCTTACCTGAACAGGTGGAGGGAAACAACTTCACTCTTGCTAGATCCTCCCAAAGAAAGAGAGATGGTTCGCCTCTTTATTCAAAATCTGACTCATAAATATAGGGAACATCTCAAATTTCTTCCATTGAACACTTTCGAAGCTGTATACGACATCGGCATCAATATCGAGGATGAGCTAATAAAGACTGCTGGTAGTAACAATAATAACACTTGGAAAAACAAGAAGAACGACCATCCTTCTTCTTCGTCTTCTAAGCACGAAAATACTACCAACAATATAAGCCAAGTTGATCTCAATGAAGTGATAGCCCTTGATACTCCATTGCCCAAGAAGAAAAGAACTTACACTCATTTAGGAATGACTTATGATGCGGTCTTTGATCGCCTTTACGGTCAAGGCTTGATCACGCCTATTGGACCATTTCCAGAGCCAAAACCTGAAGAAAGGAGCGCCACATGGAATCCCAATGCCTATTGCAAGTACCATCAAGGAAGGGGCCACACTACAGAGCAATGTTGGAATTTGAAGGACGTCATTCAAGACTTGATGGATGCAAACAAACTTCCTGTCCCTCCAGGCGGCAAGAAGTAATAAATACAAGGCACGCAGATCCTTTGTGCAAGATTTCATGATTTCTTTCTTTATCATTCTTCTCCATTCCCCCATTCATGTCTAGCATAGGTTTTCCACTTTGAATTTTTTTTTGTTTTTTTTTATATGTTTCATGTGTTTCGTTCACCTTACATTAATAGAATGAGCAATTTTCCTTTACATCTCGATCATAGAATTTTTCATTCATTCATTCTCAATAAAAAAAAATAAAAATAAAAAATAAAAAAAAATTGCCGAACTAAACACAAGGTACACCAATGATTTGAGGCACCTTTGCAACCCTTTCATTCCCCATTAACCATTCAATTACATATCCATTTTTTTCATCAACCACTTTGAGCCTCGTCTAACGTTTGACCTTCATTTCTTCAACCCACATTCACTTAACCCTGGGATTTGAAGATGTGTAATTGTATAACATTCAAAAAGCAAGTAAAAAAAAAAAGTAGCAAAGCAAAAATAAAACAATGTCTAAAGGCAAGTGTTCCAATGTCTTTGATATGAACACGTCTCAAAATGCGTCTCTCTTCGAGTGCTCGGTACCGTGCCTGAGAAACATGAATGCTAAGTGAGTGATGGACCGCATGATCTGAGATTGCCTACATTGATTCACAAGAATGAAAAAAAAGAAAAGAAGAAAAACATATATATTGAAAATAAACTTGCAAAATTCAAAATTTTCAAATTCAAAATTACACATCTTGGGGATTCTCTCGGGTCTTGAGCCTTTTATCCCTTTCTTCCTTAAACCATCAACTTAACCACATTACAACCCTTGAAAGACCTCTTTGAGGTGTATATACACTTGTGCAAAGTTCGGTTAGAGCTACGTTCGGCCTGATTCCTAACGGATACGTAGGCAACCTCACATCGAGGTGCGGCCACATTCATATTCATATCCATGCATGATCGAGTCGAAGAATATCCAATGCTTATCCCTACCCATTTAGAGCTAGACTTGGGGGCTTGAACCCAAATCACATTAGCTTACCCAGCCTGAAGAGTCACCATCTTTAACTCTTCTCACATCTCTTTCCATCGCTATAACCCTTGCAGCCAGCCTTAGTATCACATTCACACACTTCACTCACACATTCATATCCATATCAATTATCCTTCCCTTTAAGAGCCCTTTATCATGAAATCTTGTTTCAACACTGTCCATATTTCATCATATTTAAAGACAACATTCAGTAGAAGAAACATTGTATTCTTGCTTAGCTTCCTGACCTGAGCAATGTTCATTGTTTCGCATAATGTGCTAAGAAACATTTATATATCAATGATTTTTAATCATACAAAGCATATCGTGCTTAGCTCCTTGACCTAAGCAACGTTCATTATGCAATAATCCCTGTACGTGCTTAGCTTCCAGACCTAAGTGACGTTCAAAATCGCTTCTTTACACCATATATGACTTAAGTTCATTCATCTATCGTGTCACATGATGTAATTGTCCTTAGCCTCCTGGCCTAAGAACATGCATCATGCATACATTATTTTCAGGACAAGCAATTCAATCCATACGATTTATTTCGTCTTGCTCAAGGAGGAATTTCAAAACTTCTTTCCTTTTTCATTATTTTATTTTGGGGAAGTTCAAAAACTTTTTCCAAGTTTTCATCGAAGGAAGTTCGAAAATAAAAGTTCAGTTTTCACATCTTTCTTTTTCGGGAGAAAGTCGGTACCCTCCACTCATGACAAAAATTGACGGAAAATTTTTTGCATCTTCGTTTGCTTGTGTCTGCACACACACGTATACACACACACACACTCACAAGTCATATACATGTCATGTCACATCAAGTCAAACTTGGTCAAGTTAGTGGTCAAGTCAATCACAGTATATACGAGTCCATTGGCAAATTTATTTTTGCAGGTCTTATCTACAGCCCACATCCGGGGACAAGCGGACCATCTACAGCCCACGTCCGGGGACAAGCGGACCACCATCATTTCATGACGCAAGGTTCTCGACACACAGAGACTTGCAATCTCATCATCTTTCGACTTTCCTCAAGCATGGAAAGTATTATTCGGTGGATTTTTCTTCAAGTATAGAAAACCGCCAAGTCGGCTTTCCTCAGGCTTGGGAAGCGTTATCGGTGGATTTTTCTTCAAGTATAGAAAACCGCCAAGTCGGCTTTCCTCAGGCTTGGAAAGCATTATCGGTGGATTTTTCTTCAAGTATAGAAAACCGCCAAATCGGCTTTCCTCAGGCATGGAAAGCATCATCAGTGGATTTTTCTTCAAGTATAGAAAACCACAAAATTCCTTTGTCGGCTTTCCTCAAGCATGGAAGGCATTATCGGTGGAATTCTTCAAGCATAGAATGATACCAAATTCATTCGTCGACTTTCCTCAGACATGGAAAGTATTATCTGGTAGCTTTCTTCAGGCTTAGAAAGGTACCAAACTCTTTAGTCGGCTTTCCTCAAGCATGGGAAGCGTTTTAACCAATGTGACTCGGTAGATTCCTTCAAGCATAGGAAAATACCAAACTCGTTTGTCACCGACACACTGGTGCCAGATATGTATTCTATCCCTTTACTCTTTTATCTGTGGAATAAACATTTTTCTGCAGGTATCGGCGTATACAGAGTGATTTAGGATCGCAGAACGTCTTAAATCATTCTCCGTCCCTATCGACTACTTTGACTATCGTTTTCGAAACTGACGTTTCTACAAACTCAGTCAAAGTGGGGGCTTCTGTAGACACCTAAAAATGTCTCCCCAAAACCAAACCCGATGATAAATAACCTTTCACCGCCTCTATTGGTCAGGTTTAGTATTTAATCCCGAGAGTGCTTAAAAAATCGTATTTTATTAAATTCATACCTTTAATTTGAAAGATCCATGGATTAGTCTTGATGTTTGGTAAAAGCATAGTTTTAATTAATTTTAAGCCCAAACCTTTTTATTTTATTATTTTATTATTTATTTTTGGCCCAAATATTTTATTTATTTTATTTCATTATTTTCTTATTTTAGCCTGAATAATAAAATTCAGGAAAAAGCCCAAAATTATCAATCGGCACTTAAAAAGCCGAAAGAAATTAGGGTTAAAAATGAATTTAGACGGAAAAATGGACTGGAACTGACCGTGTCAAGGTACAGCCTGACCGTGTCACGGGAACTATTCCTGTCTAACGGTGGGACTTCCCGTGACACGGGAGGTCTGCCGTGACACGGAGAGTTCCGTGTCCTTTTTCTGAAAATTTCCCGCGTCACTCCAAAACTGACCGTGTCACGGGAACTTGTACCGTCTGACGGTACAGTCTGACCGTGTCACGGGAACTTGTACCGTCTGACGGTACAGTCTGACCGTGTCACGGGATACTTTTTTAGGGTTTTTATCATTTTAGGGTTCCGTGTGCTCCCTCAGCACATTTCCCTATAAATACCCCCTCATTTCTGATGTACGGGGCAACCAGAATTCTATTATTCTTATTTTTCTCTCTTCTATGCTCTTAACCTAAACACTAGCCTACCCTTTTCACTTCAAAATTCCTTATTCAAGCACTCAAAGGAGTCCATATTTTACTCGAGGTTCTGTCCTTAAACCAAGGCGTGAAAGGTAGAATCGTTTGAGGGTTTGGCCCCAAAATCAACCTTATTTTATTTAATTTAATTTAATTGTTATTTTATTATTTCCTTGAAGTTACTAACTCGTTTATTATATTGTAGTTGCAAACAAACAGATTCAAAGTAAGGATCATGCTCTTTTTATTATTATTATTTTTCTAACGATTTTTATATAGTTGGAATTATGATCAGATTGGGTTTATATTAATATTGATTCTATTATTTTTTATTGATCACCATCACTACTACATTTTTGATCAAATGTCACGGCCTAATAAAGGCTATTGCAACGGTATTTTAATTGCCGTTGCAATAGAGTAGGCTAATGCGTTTTAATGTGTGAGAAGTAGAGCTATTACCACGACTTTAATGAACCGTTGCATCAGCCTAGATATTTCAACAAAAAGGAAAGCTATTGCAACGGTTTGTGATTATAGTAATGGAAATAGTATGTATAGCAGGCGCGCTGAAAATTTCATCTTCCCTCTACTTTTTTGCCCAAATATTTTGAACCCTTATTTTCTCTCTACTGTACTCTCCGTATACTTTCCCCATTTTTCTGATTTCTCCATTTTTCTCTTCGAATTCTCCATTTCCCCCATTTTTCCATTTCCCCCAATTCTATTAAGCTATTTTAATTAGCAATTCCAAAAACTTTAAATTCTCAATTTTCACCAAATCTCCGATTTTAAGGCCATAAAATACTCAAAAATTACTTACAATTTCTTGAAAATTCTGAGAGGAAAACTTAGTGAAGTAGAGGAAGGCGGAACTCAAGAGGTGGTGTAATTCAAGTGACGTTTGGTTGCTTAAGAGGCGGCGTAATTCAAGTGGAGAAGTTCCATTTTCGTTTTGCATGTCCCTGTTGCTGATATCTCGACTTTGAGTTCAAGGTATACAACGATTCTTCATTTCAGAAATTTGATTCTTCATTTCAGAAATTTCTTAATTGAAATTTTTGTTGTTGCGTTTTGATAAAATAAATTTTAAATTTTTATTGCTGTCTTTGGGAATTTGTATTTGAGTTTGAATTTCAGGTTTATTTTTTTCTCAAATTTTACTGTGAAAATGCTATACATTTTTGGGGTATGTTTGGTTGAATTTGTTGTTCTTTTTGCTCGAATTATATGGGGAAAAATTGCTGTGATTTTCTAGTGTATATTGTGCTCGAAATTTGGGGTGTGCTGCTTGATTTTGATAAATTAAATTTTAAATTTTTAATTCACATATTACTGTCTTTGGGAATTTGTATTTGAGGCCATGGAATATGGAAGGTTCTTTATCTTTAAGTTTGAATTTCAGGTTTATTTTTTCTAAAATTTTACTGTGAAAATGCTATACATTTTTGGGTTATGTTTGGCTGAATTTGTTGTTGTTTTTGCTCGAATTATATGGGGAAAAAATGCTGTGATTTTCTGGTGTATATTGTGCTCGAAATTTGGGGTGTGCTGCTTGATTTTGATAAATTAAAAACAAAAGCCTTAATTTGTCCAAGTGCAAGGCAGAAACGTATACCAGAAAATGAAGATGATGACTCTACGTCGGAATACGATGGTGAAAATGAGGTTGAAACTGATGACATTATGGAAGGTGACAATGTCACTTCTGGAAAAAGAAAAGCTAGTAAGCAGGTATTCACTTCTATTTTGTCATTTATACACACTGTTTTATATTGTTTTTCATGGTTTACATGCAATTAGTAATGCTATAATTGCCTTTTTTTTATAGGTTTCAAAGCAAGTAAAGAAGTCATCATTTCGCCCTAAAACTATGGCTGATGTTGTGGAAGTGAATAGCCATAAGAAGCATGCAGTTGATGAAGTTCAGAACACTTACTCAATTGAGGTTGCTAGTGTTAAAGATTAACGCATCCAAAAGAAGCAGCAAGTTATCTCAGAAAAGAAGGGAACAAAACGAGCGTTCTGTTCTCCTGGTTCTATGTCAGCGTACCTTGAGTTCCGGAAATGGCAAAAAGAAAATAATGATGGGTTTGTATCAGGTACTCAATCTTTGAATAATTCTTTGACAAGAAAAGAAATGAATAATGGCGCTGCATTTAATGAGAATACCAATGGTGATGCTGATGTACTAAGTGAGAATGAGGAAGTGGATGCACTAAATTAGAATGATGATGGTGTTGGTAATGAATATGAGGGTGATAAAGGATTACAAGATGAAGTTCAATTTCAGTTTGGAAGCGAAGGAATGCAAGGTATTTGCAATCATTTTACGTAGTATTATTTATTTTAGCTTTTGTTAACATGCTAAAGTCTGGTGAATTGTTTTTCTCTTATTATATCTGGATTTGGTGTGCAAGCTGATATGTTTGTCTTCAATTTATTGAGGTTTTGTTGTTGTTGTTCTTTGTTGTTGTTGTTGCCTAGGCTTTGCTGTTTGTTGGTCTGCTGCTGTTTAAGTGCTCTATTGCTTGCTTATTTTTATTGTGATCTGATTTAGTTATTTGCTAGCCTAGGCTGTTCACACTCAGCTGTACAAAGCATTTAGGACTCTATATATCATGTGAACTTAATTAACTAAAATAGACAAACCAATAATGAACAAGGTTAGAGCTGACTGTTTTCCTTCCCTAAATCCTCTTAATTGCTTCCTTTGCTTCTCTTGACTCTTGTTGACTTCCTTTTGCGCGTCTTGAGTATACCAAAAGTGGTGGCTGACCAGTGGTGTTGACCCCATTGAACCAATCCATAACAGTGCCTCAATCTTAAAAAACATGTACACACCATCCCTTAGATAATTGGCAGACGAGGATCATCCCATCCATCCACTCTTTCATTATATACAAACCACAGAACTTGGCTAAGATTCTGCATTATTAGGAGACTAGGATGCAGATCATAATGGAGAAAACAATAGAAAAATTATTGTAATTTTCACTAAGACAGAATTATAGAGTTTCTCTTGCAGTCCTCATGTCTTTGAGAATTGAAAGCTGCAAAAAGGTCTTAAGCTCTAATTCCTTGTATTAAGCTCCTCATCTCTAGTATCAAAAAACCTGATTACTTGAAACACCGTCAATGCTGAAATTAACTGCCAGACAAGGCCTGTAGTGAAAATCAATAAATATGCCTTAATAGAAATTTTATAAAGGCTTGAACTGATTGGAATTCAATGTTTTAAGATGAAATACAACTGTAGGGACACTAAACTGGTCGGCATTGTCATAAGCCTGAGGCACAATTACACTTTGACAGTTTGTTTATGGGATAACATGATCTGTTAATGAGCATATATCACCCATCCATCCACTATTTATTCAGGTTTATCACTCAAACTGATTCTTTTCTTGTCTTGCCACACAAATTCTGTCCAAGAACCTCCTGATTTAGAACCTGAAAAAGCTCCTAAAAGCAAAAGGCATCGAGGTCCAACAATGCTACCCAAGGTACATGCACGAACAAGAGAAGAGCGTGAAGTTATTGTTTTAAACTCACTGGGCCAACCAATTGGACCTACACGTGAAATTGTTCAGGAGTTCAAGCAATTCTTGGGTACTGTGGCAAGGGATTCTGAACTTGCACCACTAAATTACATTAAGTTTCCATGTCTACCCACAGTTGACAAAATGTGGGAGTATGTCCAAGTATGTAGTAATATAATTCTTTAGCTTAAGTTCATTGGATTTCATTTTAAAAAAATGCTTCTTATTTTGTTACTAGACCATAAATAATTATATATTCATGATTTGTGTAGGAAAAGTATATGGTTCCTGAAGCTGGAAGAGAATGGGTGATGCAAGCTATCAATGGAAGCTGGAAAGCTCATAAATGCTTGACTAAGAAGAACTACTTCTATGCATATCCCACTGATGCTTTAAGATGGTTTCATAAGCCAAACACAATTTCAGAACCTCAATTTAGAGAGCTTTTGCAATATTGGCATTCTAAAGAGGCCGAGGTATTATGTATATGGTTTTGAAATGTGTTGTGCAATATTGACATAGTTTCATGACCTTAATAGCCTATTTGAATTTACTTTTATATGATTTATTTACGTGGTTCAAAATTTTTAAATCTTTATTGTGTTATCACATAGGAAATCAGTAAGATCAACAAAGACAATCGCCTAATTTTAGATGACATGCACACTATGGGCCTTAACTCTTACGCAATTTTACGCCATGAGTTGGTAAAATAATTCATCTCATTTTTTGACACTGTTATTATCTTTATAATCATTAATTTACAATAACTACATGTACTACATGAAGCTTTCACCCCTGTCCTTTAATTATTTGTAATCACTTCAATTTTATGTATAATGTTTCACAGAAACAACAAGATCCCGATAAGCAAGATCCTTCTCAAGCAAGGGTCTATAAGGAGTCAAGGAAGAGAACAGTGGGAAGGACATACCTTACCAACCAAGAAAAAATAGCAGAGAATATTGTGAGTTAGCATGCATGTTAGATCTATGTTATATTTGTTTTGTTTTGATAAATAATAAGCACGTGGCTTTATTTTCCTAATATAGGCTAAAATGGATGCTTTGGAGTCTTCCCAACATGAAGATGGTAGTAACTCTAAGGACCCTTACTCCGAAGTGATTCCAGAACCTAAGCGTAAAAGCCGTGTACGCCTACAAGGAAAAGGTGTGGAAAAGTCAGATTTGAAGAAAAAAGAAAAAAATTCAGATTTCATATTCCCAGCGGAATTCTTAGAAAATATGCAAGCTCAATTAGTACAGCAACTTGCACCAAGTGTAACAACTGCAATTTTGACTCAACTTCAGGATGCTAACCCCGGGATTAATCTTGTCATTCCTGATTTTTCGATTCCATCGGCTCCAAAGGATGCATGTAGTGCGCCACATCTTCTCGTTGACCAAAATAGGCAATCTTCTAAATCTGGGGCTACAATTAATCAGGTAACATAAATTATTTTCTGTTGCTTCTGTCTAAATTTAGTTTATGCTATTGACCTGATTCTGCCGTAGCTACTGCTGAAATATTGTTGTTGTTCATGTATTTTTCTGATGCACACTTTTGCTTTATTCCTTTACTGCTTTTGGTTGGTTTTGTCTGCCTTACTTTTGCCCCCTTTTTTCACTTATATGGTTGTACACTTTACTGCTGAAATATGGTTGTTGTTCATGTATGTTTCTGTCTAAATATTGTTATTGTTCATGTATGATTCTGTTTCTGTGGCTGAATTTTTTTTTTTTTTTTTTTTACAACTAGAAAAGGAAGGTTAATCCCTAAACTTAGTTCAGTTTTCCCCTAGTTTGATTTGTACAACTAGAAAAGTTGAATGTAGGTGGTTGTTTTCTACAAGTTAGCACAGATTTACTTGTGTATGTTGAGAATTCTATTCTAAGCTACATAATTTCTTATACTATTCTTTAGGAGATTTGAATAACAATACCTGAAGAAGCATGGAAGGTTGAGCAGTAGGATCAGCATTAACATGGCTTCTTGTTTTTCTTCCATTCACGGTAGTTATATTATTTTCAGCATTATTTTCTATTGTTTAGTTATATTATTTTATTCTTTTTTACATGTAGGTGCATGGTGAGCAAAATGAAGATGAAGTATAGTGACTACATGACTAGCTAGTCATCTAACAAATGGTGCAAATATTTTGGCGACTCCTATCTATTAGTTCAAGTTGTGAAGATTTGAAAAAACCGGCTTATATATATGTTGGAATTTGTATTTTGGACGATTAAATTAATTATATAACTTTAGTTTATTAGTAGGGTGTCATATCGAAAACAAGTAAGTAATATTTTGTAATGTACGTATTTAGCATTATAATTATTATTGTATATAAATTTAATGAATTTTTGTTTCTCTTAGCTTGTTAGTATATTTAGATTTGTAGTGACTAATATATATAATTAGTGACTTAATTTAAAACTAATTTAACTAACTCATATAATGTTATTTTACTGTTCCATTAAAAAAAAATATAATACTAATAATAATAATAATAATAATAATAATAATAATAATAATAATAATAATGCCGTTGCAATAGATACACTCTCCATATATATATCGTTGTATACAACAACCGTTGCATTAGGTGCCAATTTCATCATAATTATTAGTCGGTAATCTATTGCCACGGATAATTTATGTCGTTGCATTAGGTATTGAGCTAATGCAATGGAACATAGATACCGTGGCATTAGGTGTCATATACCGTGGCATTAGACCTACTACAACGCCAGCAGATGCCACGGTACATGGCCGTTGCAATAGGCCTAATGCCACGGATTTTGACACCTAATGCAACGAAATTAGGGGTTGCAACAGGTCAAAAATGTAGTAGTGCATATTGCATGTTTAAAGGGAATGTGTAATTGAAAATCACGACTAATAAGATAATTTGGACAACCGGTTTAGGATCCTTTTTAATCTTATTATTAATTGAAGTGATCACCAAATTTTTAGAATTATGTGTGCATTAATTTTGAACCAATTTAGTTAAATAATAGTTTGGAGCAAATTGAATTATTGTTTGCATGCCTTTGAGATCACAGGAATGCTTTTCACTATAAGAATCGAGTAGAGGCCAATACGGGCGAATGTGACTCCATGACTCACTTCGTACCATCATCCCCGATCCTCCTTTCGTGGTTCCGAACCATATGGAGTTAGTAATCTCATGGATTATGAATGGGGTGTAACCTTCACTGGTCAATCGTTGTTGCCTATCGTTGTCCCTTATCGTGGTTTCCTTTTTATGATCCGTGAACGGTTTACAAGTTCCTAAAAAACTTGTTGGCGGCTCCCTACTTTATTTGTCCCTAATCGTATATGTCAATTCCCACTTCCTATGAGTGCCAAGCATATTCACAACATGCTTTTAACGTAGGCGCACTTCAAGCGACGCCTACAACGATCCCAAAGGAAAAAGTGTGAATGAAACACAGTATAGAGGTATGATTGGGTCACTCTTATATTTAACTGCCAGTAGACCTGATATTGCATTTAGTGTAGGTTTATGTGCAAGATTCCAATCAAATCCAAAAGAGTCGCATATGACTGCTGTGAAGAGAATCCTCCGATACCTAAAAGGAACACACGACTTATGTCTATTTTATCCAAGGAGCGACACATTTGATTTAAGAGGATATACCGATGCTAATTATGCCGGAGATTTAGTCAACAGAAAGAGTACCTCAGGTATGGTTTAAATTCTTGGTCCTTGTTTGGTTTCTTGGGGTTCCAAGAAACAAAATTATGTTGCTTTATCCACAGCGGAAGCTGAATACGTAGCTGCTGCTGCATGTTGTTCCCAGTTGCTTTGGATAAAACAACAGTTGCGTGACTTTGGCATTATTCTTGAGTGTGTTCCTATACATTGTGACAATACTAGTGCAATCTGTATCTCAAAAGATCTAGTTCACCATTCTAGAGTTAAACACATTCATATCAGGCATCATTTCTTAAAAGATAATGTTGAAAAAGGCTTAATACGGTTAGATTTTTGTCAAACCGATAATCAGATTGCTGATATTTTAACAAAGCCTTTAAGCAGAGAAAAACATGAAAAATTGCGACTAGAACTTGGAATGATCAAGCTGACTTGATTGCTTTTGACGCTCCCCGAAGGTATGTCCATTTAAAAAAAAAAGGGTTAAATATTGGACATATAGTCACTCACAATACTTGTGTGCACAACACTGTTTAGAGTTACACATTGTGAAGGACTCTCCTAATTATGAATATGCTTAGCACTTGATAGCAATGCAAATTGGGTGTTAAACGAAAAGAGTCATAAGCCTTGTTGGATTGTTTTGTGTTCCAGTTGTTTTAATAGCAAACAAATCATTATCTTTTTAGTATTTTTTTATCGTCGTTTTTTTTTTACTTCAATATCTTATTTTTCTATCTTTTATTTTTCTCCAAAAAAAAAAAAAAAAAAAAAAAAAAAAAGCAGCCATTAATTTTCCGTATAAAGAGATTTAGAGATTCACTAAATATCTCTTTTCTATTCTTATCTTTTTACTCCACCCAACTATAGGATAACTTTTGCTTAGTTTTGTTTTGTTTTAAATTAATAGTCAACACCAATTTTTCTTCACTCCAATTTAATTATTCACCTATACCTCACTGTAATTCTACATCTCCCCTACACCCCTCAAACCTTAACCATGAGAACTAGCTTCAACACTCCCGTACCCACACGAAAACATTCTCAAACATCACCAACAACCTCCAGCCCCATGGAAACATCACCTTCTCGTGTTCAACCCGCAAAACCACCAGCAACCTCGCCAACCGAATCCCCTATGGTTGAATCTCCCATGGATATTCAACCCACCTTGGTTGTCGAGTCGCTCACACCTAAAGAACCTCCAACAAATCTTAATTCCCCTCCTAAACCTAAGCCAAAACCTCGATGCTCAAAGAAAAGAAAGATTAATGATGCTGAAGGCTCTGAGATGGACGTTGCCATTGAGGGGGAAAAACCGCAAAAATACCTACATGTGTTATCGCTAAATCTACATTGGTGTAAATCATGTAAGTTTGTTGAACTCCTTGACTTACTTGAGTCACAACAATGGGTTTATTTGTTGGATGTGTGTGCTACACATATGGTGTATCCGAGAATAATGGATGAATTTTGTAAGTCTTTTAGCTGTGTGAAGGGTGTTTGTTCGGGTATTGTTAAGGGGACTCAAATATCTTTTGATGCTGAATATTTAGCTAGTTTGTTTCAAGTTCCTAATATGGGGCACGGGCTATATTTTAAGGGTCCATGCAATGTGGAAGTTAATGGAGTCTCGGCGGATGAGATGCTTGAATTCATTGGAGGGGTTCCTAGAGTGATAAGTACTGATCATAACCTTTTTTCACCTTGTCTTAAATTACTATACAATCTGGTAAAAAGAACCATCTTACCTCGACCCCATAAGCGCAAGATAGCAAACCTTCTTGATACTACAATTATATATTGCCTCGCCAATAAAATTCCAATCAACTTTCCTGCTTTAATGATCCAACATCTTAGTCATTGTATCCCTACCCTATCTATTCCATATGGATCATTATTAACCTTTGTATTTCAAAGTTTTGGTTTCGAGTTTGATGGAGAAACTTCTATTCCCTTGCAACCTGAAAATCGTCTTCAACCTAAAATGCTTCATGGAATCAACTTAGAAGTCATAGGGGGAAAAACGTGTTTCGTGAAGATACCCGGTGAGGATGAAGATCAACAATCTGAGAGTGAGGGTGATGATGAAGTAGAAGAGGAAGGAGAGGAAATTGAAAAAAAAGGAAAGGTTGTGGTAAAAGAAAAGAGGGTGTTTTTGAAAGGAAAAAGAAAGAGTTCAAGAATCGTATCTAAAACCGTAGCCCCTGTTTATGTTATTGACGAAGACGAAACTGAGGAGGTAGTACCTTCTCCTAAGGGTGCTGCGGAGGGAGTCACATTGGGTACCTCGATACCTGGTGTTCCTCCTATTGTCGGTCACTCAACGGGTGTTCCCTCTTTGTTTTCTCAAGGTTTTGGTTTTGCTGCATTTGGGTCGTCTAGTCCCTCTAAAACAGAGAAGGAGAAATTATTAGAGGAACTTAAGACTTCTTTTTTCAATGTGATTAAATCTAATGAGCAGCTTGTTGGCAAAGTACAGGAGCTTGAGAAGACCGTGGCTTCTTTACAACAGGAACTACAAAACCTTAAAGATCAAATGTCACAAAATCATCAAGCAATCATGTCAACTATCACCAAAAATTTATTTTAGGATTTATGTAAGTGTTGGGAACTTATAGTGATTTGGAACTCGGAAGGAACATACTTGGTTTTTAAGAAAAAATATGAACGTATATTTTAAACCCTTTAAAAATATATTAAAATTATTTTTTTCTTGAAAAGCTAAAGATTTTGATGTGATAAAATCTATTTTGGTAAAAAGATTATTTATTTTTGTAAAATAAATTTTATATATTATCTTTGTTAAAATTTCTTTTTCTCCAAGTTAATTTCATACGTTTTAATCTTTTCTGACTTAGTCTTAGGAATACCGTTAAAGATATTTCTATCACTTGGTCGTCACGTTTCCATGTTTTCCTCAACAATCAGTTATGGATTCATGTCCTATGATCATGGGAACATGATTTTTGTGGGGAGAGTGGGAAGTCGTTTAGAGTTTATGAGTACTCTATAAATAAAGAGTTGTAAACTTTGAACGACTCACCAGACTTAACTTGAAAAACATTTTTGAAATATCTTTGAGCTTTCTTTTAGAGTCTGAGTTCCTATTGCTTAAGTTTTTCCTACACACTAAATTACAAAGTTGTATTTTGGGTTTTTGGGAAAAGGGTTGAGTGAACTCTTGTTGTAGTTAGGCTTTGAGTTGAGCCTAAGAGTGTAAGAGAGAGCTTCAGAGTCGAAGCTTGTGAGTACAGTTGTTTGAGGGAACAACTGTGGGAACTTGAGTTTATTGAGAAACTCAAGTAGAGGTCCTTATAGGTTGTAACAGAGTCTTTGCCCTATAGTGAAAGAGTTTAGTAAAATTCGTAGTGGTCGTGGTTTTTCTTCTTGATTGGGCCCAAGAAGTTTCCACGTAAAAATCCTCTCTTGCATTTTCGTGTTCCTTATAGCTTTCATTTAAAATTCCGCTTTAATTCTGCTAAAAGTTCTTGTCTACAATTCACCCCCCCTCTTGTAGAAGTTCATCTGGTTAACAACTCCTTTTCGGTGGGGACCTCAATCATCTTAGCAGAAGTTTCCCTCTACTTATTAAAGAAAGAAGTAAAGCCTTCATTCTCTTTTTGTCTTAGCATCTCAAGTTG